GGGGAAGGGGCAGCCCTGCAGCCGGTGAGGAGAAGTTGGGGGTCACCCACAGACACACCCTCAAATCCAAAGGGAAGCCCCGGAAACCCCTCAGCTAAATCAGGGAAAGGCGCCGCTTTGCTTCGGAGAAGAAAAAGGCTATTCGCTTCCTTGAAAGGCGCGTCAGGAACACCCTGAGGTAAATCTCCAGCAGCCCAGAGAAGAAAAAGGCGGGGGGGGGAAGGAAACGCCCCCTTTTCCCCCAGCAGCAACCAATCAGAGCGCAGATCCCCTCAGGCGGGAGCCCGCCCCTCACTCGGCCACAACGGGGTTTTTGAGACCTATGTGCGCTTTCCTTCTGCAGCCATTAAATGGGATATTTTCACATTGAAAGGGTTCCAAAGAAAAAGACCCAAAATGACTTTGCTTTTGTCCATTAGATTGAATTGTCAGGCTGGCATGGTTTTTTTTTTTAATATTGCACTGGGCTAAAAAGTCAACATCTTTCTTCCCTTTTCTCTTGTACCTCAGAATTTCTTTGCCCCTCTTTCTCCTTCCCTTAATTTCCTATTTCTATTGTTTTTTGTATAATAAAGAAATAAGGTCTTGAGACTCTAGAAAGAGTGCAGAGAAGAGCAACTAAGATGGAAGCTAAAATATATTTTTAAAAACTGTTGCTGGAACTGGGTGTTTGTGGTCTGAGGAAAAGAAGGACGAGGGGAGACATGGTGGCATCTTCCAATATCTCAGGGATTTCTACAAAGAAAATTTATCTCCTCTAAATAAAGATAGAAGCGGACCTAATGAAAGAGGCGGAGGTGGAGTTGCACTTTCTAGATAAGAAATAACCAAAACCTCTAAAACGCTTCAGAAGAAAGACGAAAACCTCCTTCAAGACATTTAGGTTTAAATAAAAGCGGGGAAAGAAGCAGAGACGTTGAAGCCTTTGTCTGACAGGGAGCCATGGAGAGGGCCGTTCCCCCCTACTCCCAAGCCCATCATCCCTTCCCCCTCCCACGCGCTCCTCTTTCTCGTCCTTTCTATCATTTTGGCACTTTGACCCAGATCCACTAGGGGGCTCCCTCCGCCGAGGGAAGGGAACTCCAAGCGCTTCACCATTGGGCCACTGGAGGGCAGAGGCGGCAGAGAAGGAAGTGACATCACGGAGCTTTACCTCTCTAGGACGCCACACTTGTTCTCCTTAACCCCTGGGGCGCAGCAGGAGTCGGAGAATCTGCAGGAGAGTCTGGAGGCAGGACATCCCCGGGTGAATGGGGGTGGGGGTGGGGCTCTTCGCGGGTCCCATGCTCCCCAGCCGTCCTCTCCGTACGAGCGGGGAGGGGATGGCAGAGGCCTGGCAGAGGCCCAGCAAGAGCGGAGAAAGGCCGGCGAGGAGGAGGAAGAGGAGGCAGGATTCGCACCGGGCGATGCTGTCTCCGGAAGGGGAGAGAAACGGGGTGGGGTGGGGGTGCCGGCCTCCCCAGCTGCCTCCTTCGCGGTCTTGCTGGGGGCGGGTCTGGGCCCTGTGCTGGGAGGAGCCGCTTGAAGCTGCGGGCAGTTTGGGGAAGGGGGTGCAGGGGCTGAATCCCCCTTTCTGATCCTGGGCGTCGGTTTTTCTCTCCCTTCCAGATTCGGAAACTCGGAGACCTCGGCAGCCTTTGCAAGCCAGGATTTCCTCTGCGGGGGAAAGGAAGGGTCTCCGACTTGGGTGGGGGTGGGGTTAACTGGATGACCTACAAGGTCCCTTCCAATACTGATTATATGTTATGGGAAGGAAGGAAGGGAGGGAGCGGAAGGACCGGAAGTTATCTATCCTGCGGTCCCAGAAATGGTCCCGTGAAGAAAGAGGCCCCTGGAAGATCCAAGCCCACAGAGTCCCTGGAGCCCTTTGGAGTTGCTCTGCTTGAAAGAGGAAGGATGGAGACACCGCCTTTGGTCAAGGAGTGGAGCGGAAAAGGCCCTGCGGCTCTTCAGCCTGGGAACTGTGGGGAGAGCTGGACCAGAACTGGGCAAAAGGTCCTGCAGGAGGGAACCGTCCTCCCTTCAGAAGTTCCGCCCTTGACCTCCATCCAATACCGGGAGGTTGAGGGTCCCCGAGGACTTTGTAGCCGACTCCATGAGTTGTGCAGGCGATGGCTGAGACCACGAAAGCACAGCAAAGCCCAGATGCTGGACCTGGTAGTTCTGGAACACCTCCTGTTCCTTCTGCCCCCAGAGATGGAGGGCTGGGTGCGGGAATGTGGAGCAGAGAGCAGTTCCCAGGTGGTGGCCCTGGCGGAAGGCTTCCTCCTGAGCCAGGCAGAGGAGCAGAAGGAGCAGCTCCAGTGGCAGGTGGGAGACTTTAGGGAAGTCAGAAGGGAATAAATTGAGAGAGTGTTTGAATGCTTCACCCCTCCTTCCCAAACTTCTTCCATGTTCATAATAAGAGGCAATTCTCTAGTTCTGCTAGGACATTGTTCCATTGTTTTCTCACTCAGCCACATGGATGGATATTGGGGGCCTTGAGGTTGTGTTCCGAATACAAGAATCCACTTTGTGTCATGTGACTGTACATTAATTCTGCTTCTTCCTTCCTCCTATATGAAGCACTACACTGTGGAGATGAGAGATCCTGAGGGAAAGAAGAACCCATCAAATCCCACTCAGGAGCTATTTTTCAGGAGGATCCCTTGGGAAGATCCAAGTCAGGATACCTCAGGAGGTAATGGAAGATCCTCCGATTCCCCATCTGTCTTCCCTTCGAGCTCTTTTTTCTCCTTTAGAATACCTCCTCCTATTTTGTTAATTATGCATTTTGAAATTATTTATTCCTTACAGAGAAACAAAGAATGAAGCTTTCTGGTTTTTATGACAGAGCTCAAACAGCGGTTGAACCTCCAAATCAAGTAAGAAAGGGAAAAGTTTATTGGAGTTGTATTCTCCCTTCAGGAAGTGAAGCGGGTGTGCAGAGGGCTCTCTCCTTCTATTTTCCTCCCTTGTTTGGCCTGGATTATTTTTGTGTTCTTCCACAACATGGAGAGCAGAATAGCAGATTCAAGTTGCTATCAGCCATCATAGCTTCCTCTAGTTATCTTATTCTACTAGATACTTCTCCAACTTTGACTTTACAGGAAGCAATTTTTTAAAAGTCCTTCAAGAAATAGGAATAAACGTATCACAGTGGCAGGAACTGCTAGAGACCCTTTGGGGGTGTGTGTGTTTGACTTGGAATTCTGCAAGGCTAATGAAAAATAAATACATTGCCACATTACCATTTATAAAAGCCTCATTTATAACCTGTAGTTCAAAAATAAGCAAATCATATTAAAAACTAAAGCAGACTATTAAAATCCAAAGGAAGTGGCTATGTCAAGCATGTAATTATGATACTTTGGGCTAGAAAATAATTTCCAATCCTCTGATTTGCGCCTCGATTAGGAGATCAA